ACCTGGTCTCATCACTTTATGCATAGGCTAAAAGCCAGTGCAGAAAGCTCAGCCTTCCTTTTGTAAAGCTTGAAGACATTTATCTATGTTATGTGTATTCGGATACTTAGGAATCTTTTCTATCTCTCCCCCGGGACATTATGGGACATTTTCCATGTATATCTTAGTGGGATTGTTCAGCACTGTATCCATTCCATCTACCTCCAACTTCACCTGAAGGGCAAAATCCTTAAGATCTTGACACAATACTGATAAATACATGGAATTATTAAAGTTGCCATCTCAGCAGAACAGGATTGCTGCCGCCTTTGTTCTCAGGGGAATACATATTTCACCCAGTAGCAAGACACCCAACTGCTGCTACAATCAAAACTCTCTGAAATGCCTTTAAGCTAATCATCTTTGAACATAAGCCTTTGTTGTTAAATCAGGGACCTTCTAGATGCAAGGCACAGAAACCTTTTTTGTTTTTTCTCCACCTTGCACAAAACAGCTTTAAGCCTGTCACCGCTGACAGTAAGGTTCAGTGATCTGTCAACATTCACCCCTGATAAAGACAGTGAGAGAAATCCGTGGCTCTGGAGAGTTCAGTAGAGACCAAACAGTATGTTTGCAAAAGAGCATTTTTATATGTTTTCTTGTGACAGCACTAGTTTAACAGAAAATAGTTGGAGTGTGCCAAAAAAGGGTAAAAGAGAAAGAAAAGAAAAAAAAAAATAGGAGAAAAGACAGAAGTAGTAAGTTAGGCTAGCATGACATGATGGATCTGGGCTATGACAAACAGAATTGGAAAAAAACTTCCCTGGGGACCAACTATAGCAGGTTTGCTGAATTGTATTTCTTGATTTCTTACTGTGCAACAGTGCTTTTTAGTGTTAGATTGACTAGGCTTCAGAATATTTTTAAAATTGTACAAATCAAAATCCATGTAGCTTAAAAATGAAAGATGTAAAAGGTTTAGGAGTTTGATGTATTGAAAGGCATTCTGTATTCCCTCATGTGAGTATTAAATGTACACTTTGTCTGTTTGATGAATTTTAAATCTTTGTGGATTGCAACATGCACCACAGCAGTTTAGGGGGTATAAACCTTGGCTGAAGGAAAGTGTAAAGGATGTGCAGCGGTCAGGCTTCAAACTAAGCTATTCTTCACTTTTCCTGGTTTTCCTAGGTGCTGCAGTACGTACCAAATCCAATTTATAGAGAGCTAAGTAAGAGCAGTTGGGGAAAAAAAATCTTGAAAGATTCCTCTTGGAACCAGCTAACCCTGACTACATTAAATACAGGGAGATTTCATCTTGTTTTAATTTTGTTGTAATATGAAAAAAAAAAACCAAAGAAATATTTATGAAGAAAGGGCAGGCTGAAGGGATCAGAATATTTTGAAATAATAAATGCCTTTATTCAAACCCACTGTCATGTCAGACAAGGGTCTTGCTTGGTGACAAGCAAAGTGAGGACAAAAGGCTTTAGGGGCTTGAAAAGTGACATTAGATGACATTCATCTGAAAACCTCTGGTTTCTAGGTACATCAACAGAGAGCTGGCATAGCAGGCCAGCAGCACAAGGCGTGTTTTACTGAGTCCTGTTATCTCTCTGAATTTAATTCTGCCTTCCAGTGATGGAAATCTCTCCCTCCACCACAGCAGATTTTCCTACAACACACTTAGAAAGTGCTCCTGAGCACAGACCACTAAGACATAAAGTGATAGTTATGAAATCTAAACAAAATGTCACGTCTGTGCTTTAGTGGGGATGGGTTTGGATGTGTGTTTCATCTGTATATCAAATGCAAGTGAGAAGCTGGTGTTCAGGAGGGACAACTGGATTGGTAGTAGAGGGTCAGGGTGAAGTAGGGAACCCAAACCTTCCTGTGAATTTGTGGTTTTTTTTTTTTTTTTTTTTTCCAAATCAAAATAAATTAGCTCCTTGCTCCTCTTGAAAAGTTCCCTTCTTCTGCTGCTTTAATATTTAAATATTTAACCCAACCTGAGCTTCTGATATGAAATTTTAAATTCTTTGAGGATTTTGAGCAGAGAGACTCATGACTGAGCTCTCAGACAAAAATTTTGTGATCCCATGGAAACCTAATTGTAGGTGCAAAGCTGATCCTGGACAGACATCAAGAGGCGATGAGTGTGTACAAGACTTTCATTATTCAGCTTTCACTGTGAATATTAGCTGATTAATCTGGAGAACAATTTCCAGAAAGTCTTCACTAAAGTTTTCTACAGTTGGGGAAATCAAATATGTAAATACAGGGCCAGAAATCACGTAAGTTACTGAACACCAAAAAAGGTTACTGTTTCTAATCCAAGACCATGCAACCCCTACGACGTAATAAGGGTTGTGTCTGCAGCTGAAATATCCCAGATCAGTGGCTGCTTTAGTTCACTTTCTAATAAAGAATAAAAAAAACCCCAAAAAAACCCCAAAAAACCCCACCAGCAATAATTTTTAAGGGACATAAAAAGTCATCTCCTCTCCATGACCTTCCAGCCTGTATCATCAAAGGTCACCTGTGAGATTATAAGTAAATTCTGGACTCTGTGAGGGGGATAGTGGTGCTGTTGCCAATTGCTTTGACTCGCATTATCAGGCATGGTACTGCCAATCACTCTGCTGATGCCTGTCAGGTTTCTGCTGCTGCCAAGCAGAATGTAAAATTGACAGGGAATATTACAGTGCTCGTCAAAAGCTGTGAGATACCTCTGCCTTGGGGAGAGAGCAGGCACCTGTGGTTACAGACAAGGATCAGGGCTCGGGAACACTTTGTTGCTCCCTTTACATTTTTTGAGACTTATTAATTTTAGAAGCGAAGCGCGCAGTTCACCCATATTGAGATTCTGATTATGAAATTGATATTTCCACAGATTGAGCTAACATCCAATATGCTTTTCAATACTTAAGGCTTAAGCAGAGATGTGAAATAAAATCAAAATGGGATTAAATTTTTGACAGTGGAAACAATGCTTGTTAATTCTGTAGCCGAAAGTTTTGAGTGGTTGATCTGTATCTTTTTATAATATGTACTGTGGTCAGTTCCAAAAATCTGTCTACATGTTTCTTTTCTATCTGACATGGTTTCTCCAGTTTCAGGAAGTTCTCTTCCACCTATTGGTATATGCTTGGGTCTTACTGCACAAACCCAGGTTTTGTATTTGTACAGCTATCTATAGAGTGGTTCATTAATCATCTGCAAAGTGTGGGGTTTCACAAATGTAATATACACAAAAACTAAAGCCAGCTGGACTCTGGTTTTCCAACAGGACAATGACGTGCCAGAAATACTTTGCCATTACAACCTGACACCGTGTTTTGTGTCGAACAGAGAGGTCTCATGAATACATTCAGGAGAAGGCAATAGCTTGTGCAGCTATTGAGAATTATTTAATTAAATCTGGAAGCTTTCGAGGAAGCCATAAAAATGAGGTTAATATGTCAGACTAATAAATTCTATATAATTAAGCTCCCCAAATATAGAAATTTCAGAATACGATGCTAAACATATCACAGTAGGGACATCAATTTATTTAATCTTAACATTGTTGCATTGTCTCCATGAACTTCCATTGGTGTCACAATAAGATTATTATGACAGCACCATTAAGCCCCATTCAAATGAATGGGGAATTAGTGTCATGATGGAAACAGCTGCAGCTAAGAGCTGCTGTCTATGATCAGTAGTTATTTTCAAAAAGTCAGATATTTTGCTGTTACAACAATTATATTTGCTCTTTAATTATGTGTATAGTACAAGGAAGAAACCTGGCTTTTCAAGGCACAGTGAAAACCAGCACAACAAAATGCGAACTGTGTGGTTATTTAAGGTGTTCCACAAAATCTTTACCATTCCAGCCCACTTATAACATTTTTCCAGATGTGTACAAAGCCTCTACTGAACAGACATGTTGTTAGATTTTAGGGCTGTCAGTCGATAACTTGCACTTTGTCAAGAATCTCTGCTTAGTCCATTGTCCACCTTCCCCTTTCCCAGAGGATAGATAATAAAAGACTTTTTGTCAATCACAGCAGCCACAGGGAGGGTAGGACGGAGATCATAACAATGACAAGAATAAATGAATTTAATGACTTAGAAGACAGAGTACTCTGAGCTCTTTCTTTTGTACCTGTTCACCCTATGCCACCTTCCATCTTTAGTTACCTGTACAGCCCCTCTCCATCTGCCTTTTCATGTGCTGCTGCACCATGTTGAGAGAGGACTTCCCATAAAAGCACCCATCTCCCAGCATTTTGTATCACAACTGTTCTTAAATTCCAAAGGATTTGATAATAAGTTTAGGATTTGAAACCCTTCAAACAGGTTTTCTCTCGTATATTAAACACTGAGATCTGTGCAGATTTGTAAAAAAAAAAAAGTATTTAGATTTATGGTGATATATTTCACGTATATTCTTCTATTTAATAGAAAATGAAAATATTTTATTGATAATGTCAAAAAGAAAGTTGAGAGTTCTTTATGCAGAGATGCATGTCTGAATCGTATCTATCCATATCTAAGAGATAATTCTCCATGCTTTCCAGGGCAGATTTAGTTAAGTCTGCATGTTTTAGGACCAAAGTAAAAGGCTAGAGATATTTAATATTTTAAGCTCTAGGCTGGGGGGTGTTGCAGAGTGGTTATTCAGACATCTGTGTTGCTTTATGGTTAATGTTATAAATAGCTCTTCGAGTTATATCAAAATCTTATGGATTTTTAGTGGTGTTTAAACAGAACAGTTGTTTTTCTTCATAATGAAGATTTCAACTTTTAAATTAGGTAGCTGGAAATACTTGCTACCTGTGTGCCAGTTCCCACTCTGCCCTAAAGGCTTCAGAGATTATAGTGGTAATACGCAGTTTCATGGTAAAACCTTTTTCTCCTCTTGCGAGGGGTGTGTCCTGTCAGTCATCACCTACATAGATCCTTTCTCACACAGTCCAACCTGCTCCAGCAATTCTTGCGTCCTGCACTTCAAGTAGTTCAGACTGCTGAAACTTGGGAGGTCAGGTCAGTCACTCCTGCTGTGCTCTTCGGAGAAAACCAGTAACGTGAGACTTCCAGCCGTACCCCGGGGCCGTGGGGAACAATGGCTCCTCTGTGCGAATGGAAAGTGAGCACCTGTTGTAAACAAACTAAACGCTCCTCTTGAAAAATACAAATATTGTTACCTGCCAAAATTGTGCCAGTCAAAGGGAACCAGTTGGTGGTGGAACGTTCGATATAAGGCATGTCCTGAGTAGGTATACTGTGCATCCCTGGTGTAAGCATTCTTTGATGAAAAGGCAGCTTGTTCGGGATACCTAGATTGAATTTCTTGTAAGGCAGCTGCTTTAGAGGATATAAGATATTTCTCTCAGCCACCTGTTTCCTTTTATTGTGTTAGCATTTGAGTTTGTTGGGCCAGCCCTTGTGAAGAGATAAGGCAGAGTTTCTGTGTTTTGTTTATCAGGACATACTTGTTCATGCTCTTAAATATTAGTGGAAGGAGTTCAGCAGGGCAACCCCGTGTGAGTTGGACAAAGCAGCTGCTTTTGTTCCGAATCTTAGTTCCTTGTGGTTTTGTGTCTTGGCACACCATTGTATCTTTTTTCTTGGCTTTGACACAAGAAAAGAGTTAAAATAATTTTATCTTTTCGAACAGCTGCACAACCAAGGACGGGAGAAAAATCTAGACCTTAGAGAAGTCTTTATCAATGGTCTTCAGGTCAGCACTGTGTGTCATCATTGCCTACACCTGGTGTGGTCCTTCAAACCAAAACAGACTCAGTATTTATCTTCTCATCTGATATATATGATATATTCTTCCCCTTGAGGGTGGTGAGGCCCTGGCACAGGTTGCCCAGAGAAGCTGTGGCTACCCCATCCTTGAAAATGTCCAAGACTTGCATCAACTTGGGATAGTGGAAGGTGTCCCTGTCCATGGCAGGGGATGGAACTAGATGATCTCTAAGGTCCCTTCCAACCCAAACCAGTCTGGGATTCTGTTATAGTTTTGCTCTCAGGCCGCCTTGGTGAATCCTCATTTCAAGTGTATTATAAGAGCAAAACAAGTGCTCAGAGTGGAGGGATGAGGTGGGTCAGGGTGTTGATGGTTGTGATAAAGGAGATCAAAATGCTGCACAAATACCTCTGTAACTGCAAAGAGAAATTCTGGTATTTTTGGTAACTTAAGCATGTTTGACACTGTTGAGCAGTACCCCTAGATTATAAAACAGAGTAGTAGTTAAACCATATTTACTTCTTTGTAGGAGTATTAAGATACATTACTGGTGAAATGTTCTAAGGCAAGAGAATTACTGAGAGAAAAATAATATTCAGACTCCGGTGAAAATAATCCTGCCATGTATATCACAAATTCAGTGTACAGGAAAGAGATTAAATGTTAACTATTTATTTGTTATTTACATCACTTTTTCAAAATAAAAAGCAAACCAAAGACAGTTGGGATTTAAAAATATGAATGTTGCAACATAATTGCAATTATTTTTATAATGGTACCTGATCTCTGCCTATTGACACTGGTGATGTCTTCTGACTGAATTCATGTTCAATATCTTGAAAAAAAATCCCCCAAATAAACAAACAAACCAAAGAATCGTTTATTTTCTCAAACTGTTTTTAATGCTTTAAAAATCCCAAAGCCCTTTCCTCTACTGCTTCTGATTCTTGATAAAAATCATGCAAACACAGCCAGTTTGATGCTATTTTTTTGTTTACAGTATTGCTGTGTTGTTTTGGTTAACAGAATGAAAAACAGCACAGTTAGACTACAAGTAAAAATGTTTTATTCTTAGTTTGTTTCATCAATAAAAGCTGACATTTTTGCAAGAAAGATGTTATACTATTGGAATTAACTCTTAGTCAATTGTAAATAATTGTATTATATTGGTATGTTATCATGAAGATTAGAAATCATTTCCTACAGAATCATGTTCCTGCTTTCTCAGCACTGTTTCAATTGAAAGGAATTTGAATGAAGTGCATCTCATTACTAACATAAAGTAGATGGAGCTTGAATAATTTTTATATTTATTTTCCATAGATAGCTATTACATTTCTTATCCTATCCATCCAAGTTTTATAAAATAAATTGTTTTAATCCGTTTTTTGGAGAGAAGCAACGAATTTGTTTTTGCAGAAGTAATACATCTGAATATATTGTAATATGCATAAAAATCTGTTAACACAGTTATTTATACAAAAAGTGTAGCTGCCTTACCTTTGATTTAATTTACATACTTTATTTGCCTTCTGACAAGTTCTTCCCTTGCCTTTTTTTATTTATGTGCCAAAAATATGTCTTTTCAGATAAGTCAACTAAAACTTTAATGTATTGTATATTTTAAAACTACATAAAATGTTTTATGCATTCGCTAGTTTTTTCCCACAAGCATTTGTTAAAGGTGATGCTATATCAAGATTAGACATGTTTTACCACTGATAACAGCATAATGACATTGTATTTCTTAAATATTATGAGCAAATAGATGTGTTCTATTTTAAAGCCGAAGCTGACATTTAGGTTGAATTATCAAGCATTAAAAAAAAAAATAAAAGAAAGAAAGAAAAAAAAATAACCTTTATTACTCGAAGGTCAAAACTTTGGCAGCCTTCTTTTTTTTAAATATAAGAATTCAGGCCCACACCCTGAGAAAGAATTTGATGCATTTACTTTAAGTATGTGAAAGATGTGAGCGACATAATTATTTTTCCATTCAAATGTGGAAAACAATAAAAGTTTCCCATATGTAGTTCATAGGCTGTAACTCACATCACTCAGCACTAAAGCAATAAGCAATCGAGTGTTGATACAAAGAGCTCCAACCCTGGAAATATCAGCTTAACCCTTGCGGTCTTTCTCTGCACTTTGCTACTGTAAACATGGTTTGAATTTACATAAGCCACCATTCATATTCTTGTGAGTTCATAATATAAATAATGCAGAAAATCTCATTCACTTCCCTAAATTATGCTAGTCATTACAGATGATTCATGTAAGTATTAATCTCTTGGATGTGGCAGAAAACTAGGGAGGAGAAACTACCTATCATATCATTTGCAGTTAAGAACCTGCTGCATATCTCTAAGCTTTGCTTGGAACACTTTGCAGTAATTGGGTGTGCATCTTCTCACTCTTCTGTAATCCAAGTGGCAATATGGGTTTCTCTGTGATTTCTTCGTGCTAGAAAATACAATTTGTGGAAAGATGTTCTAAGTAGCAACGTGCCTGGGGGCTGGGTGGTGTCCTGCAGTGCAAGTTTGAGGAAAAGAGCTAAAGATCTCTTTATTTGTTGCATCAGGATGTGTGATGAGGGGCTAGATTGGGAAAGCAAATGCTTAATCATAGAATCACAGAATCCTAGAGAGATCTGAGTTGGAAGAGACCTTAGAGATCCTCTAGTTCCAGCACCCCAGCCATGGGCAGGGACACCTTCCACTAGATCAGGTTGCTCCAAGCCCCACCCAACCTGGCCTTGAACACTTCCAGGGATGGGGCAGCCACAACTTCAATATTTGTCTCCTAAGACAATTTTAGTGCAAACTGATTTATATCCCTGAAGGCCAGGCATGAAAATGCTCTTACCTTGGAAAATCTTGGCACAACAGAGACTCAAATGCTGGCAGGATTAGCTGTAAAACTGTATTTTTGGTGAGCAGTGCACCAAGATGTAGATCACTGGGAGGTTTCTATACATTTCAACATCCTTACCTTTCTCCTTCATCCACTTCAGTGCATGATCTCCCTCCTCCTCTGAGCTGCTGCACCTCCTCACACTCCAGGAAAAAATTAAAAGGCTGAAGGCAAATTATTTAATTCAAAACATTGGAGCTGGATCATATAAATATGGGCTGGAGCCATAATCTTGGTGTTCATACCTGTGAGCCAACTTGTGCAAGATGTTCTCCAGGACAGGACAACTGGTGACTGATAGAAGAAATCAGCTGTTGAAACTCTAAAGGGTGCAGGGTCAGAGAAGCACCAGGGACAGCAGGGAGTAAACACAAAACTGGGCATTTCCCTGCAAAGCTTAGAAAAGTAGAGAAGTACTCACACTAGGAAATATATTGCAGTCATTAGTCATATATATTAGGAGTTGGACATTTATACCTGATGTTCATTAGTAGTTGATGGATATATATAATACATTGCTGGGTAATTATATTTAAAATGCTTTAAAGACTTTCTCTTTTTTTTGAAAGACAGCAGAGCCATAAAAAACATTGTTTTTGCTAATAGCAAATGTGAACTATAGACTCTCTAAAATCAGTCCTTAAACCCACTTCTTGTGCAGTGGGTTTGTCATACTGACCATCCAGACATGTTCCAGATTCTCCATTAGCTCAGGAGTATTCCATCTTACAGTAAGAAGAACATGAAGGTGTGGGTTATAATAATAAGCCATATGATTCCTACTGCTCTAAATACTACTGTGAAGAATCAGACGTGTCAGACAGGTAGCTTTAGGGTTGTTGCCATTGCTCATAACATGCTGGTTATCACAAAAGACTTTGAGGAATGGGATGTTCATGGGATCTGTGCTTATGTACAGATAGGACAGAGCTTTACAGGTAGATACCAGTATTATGTTTAATACTGGTATTGTTCACATGTCAAATATCTTGAGTATCTGAATACTTTCAAGGCAGAATAAAAACATTGATTGCAGTTTTTATCCAAGCCAATTCATAATATTTTCCTTACATTTTCTTGTGACACTGCATTCAGACTCGGTTTTGAAAGCCTTAAAATTGTTTTTTTTTCTGTGTGAGAGAGCTTTTAGCTTAATTTTATGGATTATATGGTCTTCTTCACTACGAAGTTTTAAAAGATACAAAAGAAAAAAACCTTGCTCAAATGTAGAAGTTATTTTTGCAGTAACGTATGTCATGATTTTTAAACATTCAGGCCTTTAAACTTTTTTTTTATAGTGTATGTTCTTGCCAATCCCAGCACAGTTCTACAAAGTAAAATATTTGGCAGTGAATTCATATTAACAGATGGAACAAGAAATTAACACGTTTTTGCTTCGCTAATTCACAGTTCTTTTAATACGCTAATTCTAAATCACCTGTTCTGACTTTGACAGGCTACAGACACCTGTTTGGGGTAATATTCCACAGCTAATTATTACATGAGAAACTCAGTTTCCAACAAAAGGGTTTCTGTGTGAAATTGTCATAGTTAACAAATTAGTAATACCGACTTTATACAGAAATAGCTTGCAGTTTTAATTTACATGTACTTAACCTTGCCTGAAGAACTGGGAGCAGTGGGGGTGCAGGGGGGCAGCTTCTCCCACAGCACACGGCGAGCTGGTGCCTCCATCCAGAGCTGGAAAGTTCCTGATGTAAATCCCGGTCCCCAGAGCTGAGTCAGTGATACCAGATCATGAGGAGCACGGTGCTGCTCACCAAAAACCAAGAGAAGAGGGCAAGAAGTTTCTTCCAAGGAGAAAGCTTGGAGTAATTTCCATCTCACCAGGGTTGGTGCAGTTTAGAGTCAGAGTAAGGAAAGGAAAGTCTTTTTTTTTTTTTTTTTTTTTAACTGATAGCCCTGCTGCAACGTAAAGACATTACAGTGCTGTTACACTTGGAGTCTGTGCTGTTTACCTCTATAAATCAGATGCAGCAGTTTAGAACTGAGCTTCATTGTAGGATGTAATGTTTAAATATTGCCCCAAAAGCTGGCAGGGGATAATTTAATCCCATATCATTGAATGTGTGAGCTTTTTTTTTTTTTATGTATCTGTGCCTGTCAGAAAAAAAATACAAGTTTTGTGGTTGCCTTTTTAGAAGTTTATTACACTTCTGTCATAATGAGTCATCACGTTCATATGGAAAAGGGGGGAAGGGAGGCAAAAAGAAGTTATTCCCTCTCACTGCTCTTCTCTTCTGCTCTTTCACTCTTGACACGAGAGATGATACAACCCCATCCTCTGTCCCAGTTGTGCACCAGTGGGGAGGCCAAACAGAGCCTGTAGCAGTAAAAACTTTATGATTATGGTGGAAAACCAAATCCGGTGTGGGAATGAAGGGATGAACAACATTGCTCAGTGCAATGGGATGAGAAAAAATGTTCAGTATGAGAGAAAAAGGGTAGAGATAGTCTGGACACAGCCACGTCTTACCACAAACTACAGTGTCCTAAAAAGCAGTACTGGCACTACCATGAACTTTATACTTTGCCTTTCTCAACACCCTTTTAAACCTCCTTTAAACACAAAATTAATGTAAAGTCCTCTCCTAGTCTTGCTTTGAACCTTCCTTAATTCATCTCCAACTGCTTTATCAGGAGGTTATTGATGGTAGCGATGTTTTATTGCTCAACTGTGAGATGTAAATAACCCAGTGAACCTCTTTCCTTTGTTCTCTTTGCTTTTGATTACTCCTTTCCTTTCTTCTGTCTTTTCCCCACCTTTACATCTACTCCCCCTTACATTTTTATAATGTTCAACTATCTTGTCAGGTAATCTATTGCAGGCTGTGACACAAATCTCACAGCCTTGAAAATATCGCTGCTATGTTAAGCCTAATGAAAAGAATTACAGTTCAGAGGGAAAAATCAAAATTATCATTAGTCATCCTTGCTTAGCTGTGTTTCCTTCAGATATCTGAGGCAGCAGGAGTTTCTGGGGAACCTGGAGGACTCAAATATACAGCTGCTCCTTGACATTCCTAAGCACCTGGATGCTTTGGAGTGACAATGCATTTTGCACCAAGCCAAGCTGACCAGAGCTGTCTTTACTTTTCCTGTTCCCTGGGGAAAATAAGTAGAATCTACCCCATTTTTTTTCATATTTATGCCCACACCTGCCTTATAGCTTTCCCAAGGAAAATAACTATAGGTGGTGGTTGGTAAATTGGGGAATGTTAAATAATCCTGGAGAAACAGTGTACAGATTTGCCAGTTATTCCAATGAAATTAGGCAAATACTTAAAACAAAGGGAATGTAAATGGCCCATGATGTCTCTCTCTGCTGAGTCAGATTATGTCCATTTACCCTCACTGGGTTAGCTCTTTTTCTTCGTGAAACTGAAATGAAGCCGCCTGGTACCTGGTGTGAGCACAGGCTCACTTAATTCCTCTTAATACAGACAGCAGTTTTACATTCAAATAGTTTTATATTCAAACAGTTTTACAGGTATAATGCAGTGAAAACACCATATAGTGTCTAAAAATCCTTCTGAAGATAACTATAGGAGTGTAACTCCTCTAAGTGTGCAAACTGTGAAGTGTCAGAGTCAGTGCTGAATACTCTTTGTATGGCTTTATAAATAAATGTTCAATTATCCATTTGTAGTAACCTTCCACAGCTTATCAGAGGGAGAAGGTAGAATGTCTAGCATCCTTTCTACTTTCTGCAGGAAAAAAAATTATTCTTAATACTGTATCCCTCTGTGAACTAAGGTACCCCACTAATTTTTAAGTGGACTGTAAGTCCTGCCTATCACCAAAACTATGGTGAGGGTCTGCAGGAGTTAGGGCTGGCACTTGCACTTGGGGGATCTTTACTTTTTTTTTGGCTGTATTTGCATGAATAGCATTTCATTGCTAATGTCTGTGTCCTTAAATGACTCTTACTTAGTGTATGACAGTAGTTTTCAGTTGTAGTTTCTGCATGCTGCTTTGTAAGACTTTGTTATTGCTTTAATCAGTTTCATTACACCTCGGTGTCTAGATCCTCTCCTTGTCAAAATATCATAGTCAGGCATTAACCATGAAATGATGATATGAATCTTAAGGCAGTGAGATCTGGCATTGATGCCGAGGGATTTCTGCTCTTCCACTCGTGCACTCGCGCGTTCCTGTCTTTTTCTCTTGGTTATTTATGCCTGACCTAAGCAGAACTCCGTCTAGTTTAAAGCCCTGTAAGAGAATTTGCCTCTTCGGTTTGCAATGGATTTCTTGAGGATCACAATCAGCACATTTTGGCTTTGCTTATCTGACCCTGGAAAGCGACAGGACGTGAACCAGGGGAAAAAAATTCCCCATGAGCCGCACCAGATGAGCGATGCCTTTGCCCACCGTGGCTGGGAAATCGCTACCAAGTTGGTTGTTATAGACAGTGATTGATCCCCGCTCCTTCAGTGGATGCGTGATAGATAAGGGAAATAGTCAAGTCTGGAAGAAGCTATTTTGTGCTCATAGTAACTGGAGGATTTTCAGCAGATGTCTTAATAGTTGGAAATCAGCAATAGTATGTGGATTTATTTGTGTGCCATCTGAACCATTTGACTTGCCAGATGCATGTTGTTTAATAGCCTTTTGTACATTCATTTTCAGAAGATAGTTCAGTAAGATTTTCTTTTATTGTGTGAAATAACCCATTTTGTGGATAGCATTTCCTATTGTTAGATTGTGTGTTGAAGAGACTAATCGGGTGCAGTCACTGCAGAGAAAAGAGAATATGCAAAACGCTCTCCCGTGCACCGAGAGGCACAATAGAAACTTGGGATGAAGTCATCCTTTATATCTTTTTTGAACATCACACATTTTTCTGCTTTTTGGATGTCTTTTGCTTGGCAGTGATCTTTTGTTTAGGTACTTAAAAGCCACTTTACTGCCTCAGTGTTTAGATTGTTCCAGTCATTCCTATCTTGTTACTGTCAACATTATCATACACTAATATGGTTTAAATTATTTGCAGACATTTCAGTCCTCTACCTAATGTGAAGATAGTTTCAGCTTTCTGTTGTTCTTCTATTAAAGCATATCTGAAAAGATAAACAAGATCTTAGCTCTTATCTGACTCACGTCATACAGGCCCTGCCAATCACCCCGTGATTCGATGAACATGAAGTACAAGTAACACATTGATTAATCATTAATAAAAATTTGTTTTATTGGTTTTTACTTTCATTATCCCTCAGTGTATCAAAGATATACATAAATACCTCCGGTAATTTGTCTATGTGTGTGTTTAAATTATAATATTGCTGTGTTTGCTGTGGACATGGGTGGTGATTCATTCAAAATTATTCACATTTCAGTGGCAGTTCCTATTGTGATGTTTTAGATTCTGGGAATAAGTCTTTGTACAGCAGAGATAATGAACAGCAAAGGAAAGAGACAGAAAGTTACCAGGTCAGGATGATAGTATGACTTCATAAAATTTAATTTACTGATCAATTAACACCAAATACTATGACAAGAATATTTTTATGCACAAAGACATTAATCAGACTCCATGGAAAAGAGTGGCCAAATACCTCCCAAGAAGTTCACACAGGTTTTTTGGAAAATCTGCTGTGGAGGTAGATGTAAATTACACTAAAAAAAAACCCAAACCTTTGAGGGAGACAAGATTATCAGGCTGGAGGTGCCTCATGACTCCAGTTATGGGAGAAAATTGCTGTCTACCAGTGACAAAGGTCCCACTGGAATCCCGATGCAGGAATGTGTAGGATGTACACTCAGCAGCTCCAGCCACCAGATGGTAGACTCTGCTTACTGGTTAAGTCAGCTCTAGTGTCTGGTCACCAGTTGGCAGAAACAGCAGTAGATAAATTACATCACCTTAGAATCACAAAGCACAATATCACTCCTGTATTTTGATACAAGTATAACCCTTCTTTCAAATTTCTGCTAAAACACACCAAAAAAATGACCAAATCCCTGTCAATATTACGCAGCATCTATAAATATTCTCAGATGGAGACCAAGAAGGAAAGTATATTTTTATTAGGCTGTTTATTATGTGAGTGGAATTAGCAAGAGACAGTTGGTGTAGAAAATTAATGAACTAGAGTTTCATGGCTGGAATTTACTCCAACCTGCCTTATGTTACCAGTAAAATTTGTTTGGGGAACCTCAACATACTCTTTAGGAGACATTTGTCCATTTTGCCAAATGATCACACAACTGAGCACATTCTAATGGCATCCTCTGTTATATTTTAAAGTCTCGTTTCATTGTGTAGAAACAAAATATAATGATAGAACACAAATGTTTGCATTTATAGAAGACATTTTTGAAAAGGCCTATGAATCATTTGCATGTGTGGGAGATGCATGTATGTGGTCTAGAGTCATACCAAACATTTTAAAAGAGCCAATGAGGACTAATTGGACAAAATCTCAGTGATTTTGTGCCTAGTAAGGTATGAACTGTAAAAGACAGCATGAAAACATTGGACTTTGCAAAGAGAATGAAAACCATCTGTCAGGAATACTTTCCACAGATTATATTCGGTCCAGCTATTAATTAAGTGATTTTGCATTACTACTTTCAAGAGGAGAACCTTCCTTAATGGGAGCAAACCCAAGGTACACATTTGACCTTCCATGTCAAAGATGGTTGCAAACCATCTCCTAACAGTAAACGAAAAAGATAGAAGGGTCATCCTTGATACATGGATATACTTTATCTAAAAGGCAAAGTTGCAATGTTGCAGCTGTGATGGATATCAGTTTATAACCTCAGAGGAAGAAAACGTTCAAGTTTGACAGTCAGGTGTGTACTGTCCCCTCCAGTGCCATGAGAACTGGCATGGGAAGCAGCTGGTGTCCTTCAGAGCTACCTGGGAGAAGTGTGGCTGCAAACCACGGCCGCCTGCTTGACTTTGGCAGTGAGTTTTCAACTGAGTGTCTGACACACCAGTTGCCAAGAGACTGATC